GAGGGGAGGGGGGGGATGGTGGGGATTGGTGGGGTGGTGATTGGTGGTGATTATGGTAAAAGTGATGATTATGGTAATAGTGGTGATGATTGATGGGGTGATTATTATGATGATAGTGATGATTAATGATGATTGGTGGTGATTGGATTATGGTAATGGTGATATGGTGATTATGGTAAAAGTGATGATGATTGATGGGATGATTATGATGATAATAGTGATGATTATGGTAATAGTGATGATTAATGATGATAGTGATGGTGATGATAATTATGGTAAAAGTGATGATTGATGGGATGATTATTATGATAAAAGTGATGATTAATGATGATGATTGATGCGATGATTATTATGGTAATAGTGATGATAGTGGTGGTGATAACAGTGCTGATAGTGTTGATAATTGATATATTTGATGGCAATAATGATAGCAGATGAAAGAAAGCATACAAATAAAAAAATCATATAAAAAGAAGAAAAAAGAAGAAAAAAAAAAAAAAAAAGAACACGGAGAAAAGAGCAGGAAACGTCAATAAAAAAAAACCCCCCCCCAAAAAAAAAAAAAAAAAAAAAAAAAAAAAAAAAAAGCTAGAGGAATCCGACGCAAGGAGCCACAGGGCCAGGGGGGGGGGACCGATACTACGATGCCAGTTGTAAAATGTACGGGCGTCGGGGTGTTAATTTTATGGCGGTCGTTATGCCGTTTGGGTGCGGGAGGGGGGAAGGTGGGGAGGTGGGGTGGGGTGGCGGGCGGCGGGCGGCGAAGACATCTTTTTTTTTTTTGTTTTTATTGTTATTGTTAATCATCATTATTATTTCAGAATTATTGTTGTTTGATGTGTTGTTGTGTTATTATTTATTATTGTTATTATTATATTATTACTATTATTGTTATTATCATTATTATCACTATTATTGCTATTATTACTATTATTATTATTATTATTATATTATCATTATTATTATTATTATTAGAGGTGTGTGGTGTGTGTGTGTGTATGTGTGTGTGGGGGGGGGGGGCTCATAGACCTATCACGTATAGCGACAATGGAAAGAAAAATGAGGTTTTTATATATTAGGCCAATTAGAAGGAAATGACAAATACTGTTGATGAATATTCATGACCGAATTACAAATTACGATTTTATTATCATTATTATTATTATATTTTATTCTATATTTTTATTTTATTTTAATTTTATTCTCTTCATCTTATTATTAGCTTTCGTATCATAGTTATTTTCAGTTCATGGAGACCTTATATTGAGTAATAAGGAGTTACGAGGGATTTTAATATTAATGTGAAAGTGTAGACTGATTATGAAGGATTTTCAAGGGATTTTAATATTAATGCGAAAGTGTATATTGATTATTGAGGGTTTTCGAGGGATTTTAATATTAATGTGAAAATGTATATTGATTGATAAGAAGTTACAAGGGATTTTAATATTAATGTGGAAGCGTCAAAGTTTGTGGGGAGGGGATGGGGGGGGGTATTTAGGTTCAAGGACCTTTTGTGAACCAAGGCAGGATTTGCGGTTAAGGGCATCTGGGTATCAGGTGACCAGGGTATGTGGGGATGAGGGTGCCAGGGAGTGCCAAAAGGGATGCTCAAGGTGCCACATGAAGGAAGGAAGGATAGGATCTCTTTTAAATTATCTTTGTTTAGATTTTTTGTTTTTTAATATTAAAACCGTGATCTCTTTATTTTTTTTTTTTTTTTGTTTATAGAACATTATTTTTTATTATTATTATTATTTCTTTATATTATGACCTTGATCTCTGATTTTATATTAGAGCCGTAATAAGTACGCACAATAGGCCATAAATATTTTTTTATATTTATTTATTCTCTCTCTCTCTCCCGTAATCTCAGTCTCGGTACATATCACGCCCAACGCAGTGTATTGTACTTCCAGGGTGTAATGGGGTAATTATAGTGTACGGAGTTTTGTGTGTGTGTGTGTGTATCTATGTATGTTATATATATATATATATATGTGTGTGTGTGTGTGTGTGTGTGTGTGTGTGCACGCGTGTGCGTGTGCGTGTGCGTGTGAAAAAGAAGATGAAGAAGAAAAAGAAAAAGTAGAAGAAAAATAAGACGAAGAAGAAGACGACGAAGACAGAAAAGAAATGAGTGTAGATCCTCCTTTAAACATGATCCTGTCACGTGAAATGTCGTTAGACGTGATTGCAGTGATTCATGTGTTTTTTCTTCTCTTTTTATGTTTCATTCCCTTCTTTTTCTTTCTTCCTTTCTTTCCTTCGTTCTCCTTTTTATTTTCGTGATTTCGTTGTCGAGAAGGAATTATTGGTGATGACCAGAAGAACATGTAACATGTAACATACATCACACAGCATACAACATACATCAAGCAACATACAACATAATCAAACAACGTACAACATACATGACACATCACACGACATACATGACACACACACATGACACTCACACAACATACATGACACCATCACACAACATACATGACACATCACACGACATACATGACACATACACGACATACATGACACATCACACAACATACATGACACATCACACAACATACATGACACATCAACACATACAATGACACACACACAACATACATGACACATCACACAACATACATGACACATCACACAACATACATGAACATCACACAACATACATGACACATCACACAACATACATGACACATCACACAACATACACCACACAACATACAACATACAACATACACCACACAACATACATCACACAACATGCAAACAAAAGCTCAAATTTACATCCCTGTTTCTAGAGGACATTAAACTTTGTTATTCTATTTTTTTCTTTTTTTTTTTCTTTTTTACTTTATTTTACTATCCATTATTTTCTGCGAAGAGGGAGAGGAGAGAGATTGAGCCGGGGAAAGCTCAGCGTCAAGGGGGGGAGTTCGGACATTGTTACGAAAGCCGTGACAAGACGGGGGGAGGGGGGTAGGGGAATAGGGGATCGGGGAAAGGGGGAAGAGGAAGAAGGGGGGGGGGAAAGGGAGGGGAAGGGAAGAGGGGATTGGAGGGGGATGGGATGGGAAGGGGGAGTTGGGAGGATGGGGGGAAATAGTGATGATGAGTGGAGGTAGAAGGAAGGGGGGGGGAGGGAGGGAAGGGGGAAGGGGAAGGGAGGGGAGTTGGGTAGAGGAAGATGGTGATGAGGGGTTTGAGTAGTAGGTGGGGGGTAAGGAGGATGGGGGGGGGATTAGGGTGTTAGGTGGAGGGAGAGGAGGATGGTAGCTTTGTTAATCTTAATCCTGTTCGTTACTCTCACGCTGTCTGTCTGCTGTCTGCCTGTCTGTCTGTCTGTCTGAGTGCCGTGTCATCTCTCTTCTCTTTTTTCTATCCCTTTCACCTTTCCTTTATTCTTCCTCCTCCTATTTTCCTTCCGCCCTCCCTTTACTCCTTACCTTTCACTTTCCTCTTCTTTATCTGCCTGTCTCTTATCGACTTATCTTTCAATTCATTTTTTAATCAAAGTTCCTGTTTTCCATTTCACTTTCTCACTTTCTCTTCTACTGTTCTGCTAAGAAAGACAGGTGGATATGCAAGCGAACAAGCAATTAAACAAACAAACAAGGAGAGAGAGAGAAAGAAAGAAAGAAGGAAAGAAGGAAAGGGAGTGAGTGAGAAAAGGAAAGGGAGTGAGTGAGAAAAGGAAAGGGAATGAGTGAAAAAGAAAGAAAAAGAAAGAGAAGAAGAGAGAGAGAGAGAGAGAGAGAGAGAGAGAGAGAGAGAGAGAGAGAGAGAAGGAAAGTGAGAGAGAGAGAGAGAGAAGGAAAGTGAGAGAGAGAGAGAAGGAAAGTGAGAGAGAGAGAGAAGGAAAGGAGAAGTGAGAAAAGGAAAGGAAGAAAGTGAGAAAGGAAAGGAAGAAAGTGAGAAATGTAAAGGAAGAGAGTGAGAAATGTAAAGGAAGAGAATGAGTGAAAGGGAGAGAGTGAGAAAAGGAAAGGGAGAGAGAGAAAAAGAAAGAGAAGTTTTATGTGTGTGTGACCGCGTGTATGTGTACGCGCGTGTGTATATACGCATATATTCGGCTCATTATCCTACGAGTCTGCCATCGTCGCAGCTACCCCTCCCTCCCTCACGCCCCATCCCCGCCCCCTCCCTCACGCCCCCATCACCCTCCGCGCGCCGTGCCGGCGTGAGCACAGGAGGGCGTCGATGGCGTGGCCCTGAGCCCGGCGGAGTGGCTCTGAGGACGCGCGGGGAAGGGGCGCCGGGAGATGTCGCCCTCGGAATGCGGCGATTATCCGGGCGGCTTATTCCACGGGGTGAGGGAGGGCGCTCGCGGGAATAGCGGGAGGCGGTGATTTGCCGCATTGTGGTGGGTGTGTGGGTGGCGGTTTTTATTCCATGATTTTTTTTCTGTGTTACATTCTCTGCTTTACTTTTCTTGTCCTAGTTATTTTTTTTCTATTTTTTCCTCTTCGTTTTGTTTTGTTTTTCTTTTGTTTTCCTCTTCTTCGGCTTCGCTTGTTATGGTCATTCTTCACCGGAAGTATCTTGCTGTTTTTTTGTTTGTTTGTTTTTGTTACCTCTCCATCCCCTTCGTTCAGATCCAAGTGTCGTAGCGTAGACAAGAGAAAGTGGCGTTGGAAAAAAAAGTGGTGTCGAAAGAAAGGAAACGTAGAGAGAAGGGAAACGGAGAGAGAAAGGAAACGGAGAGAGAAAGGAAACGTAGAGAGAAAGGAAACGTAAAGAGAAAGGAGAGAGAAAGGAGGGAAGGAGTAGAAACGTGTCGGGAGGCTCTCACGGGTACGCTGTGTCAGTGGCGAGTGACACGGGGCCGGCGCGGGTCATCCAGCGTGCGCCGCAAGCGAGTGTTCCGCCGACGAGCTCCCTTGCCTGGTGCCGTCGGGCCGATTTTCCGCGATGGTCTTGAGTGCGCGAAATCGCCGCGAAGGTGTTTCTTGCCGAGGGAAGTGTATTCATCCGCAGTGTGGTGTTGATTCCAGGTGACAGTAAACAGTCGTGTGCGAAACAAGGCGAGCGCGAGTGATTTCCAGCGCCGAGAGAGTGAGCGCGTCGCCATGGGGGAGTGAGACCCCCCCCTTGTCACGCCCATCCCCGTGTGACGATACCATGAGGGCGCGAGTGTGTCCCGCGGGCGGCGCCTAGCCGTACATCCCCCCCTCCCTTCCCCCCACCCCCACTCCCCCCTACCCATCACCAGCGCGCCCAGGATGAGCACTGGGAACTTGTCTGTGGTGGGGACGTCCCCCGGGGGCGGCGCCGCGCCGGGGGCACTCGCCAAGCTCTCGGGGCTGCACGAGTGGCTCTCCCTCGAGAACCGCCGCGTCAAGCAGTGGTGGTCCACGCGCTCCGGCACCGACCTCCACAAGATCTACATGAACCAGCTGCAGGACACCGACGGTAAGTGCTCGCTCGGCGCCGCAGGAGGAGGAGGAGAAGGGAGAAGAGGAGAAGGAGGAGAAGGAGAGAGGGAGGAGGAGAAGAAGGAGGAGGAGAGGAGAGAGGAAGGTGGTCCTGGGGCGGGAAGCCGGGGCTGCTGAGAGCACCACGTATAGATTTATGTGGAAATTGTGGTTGAATGCATAGAGGGATAAATAGTACCGGGCCCTGTAGCAACTCTCCCGTGTTGGATTGCAGTACAACTGACCTTTGGGCAAAGGACTGAAGGGAGCGCGTTTTTGTATTTTCAGTACATGCTACACACACGATCTAGATGTGCACGCGCTTGAGTACATATCAACACGCCCTGTTAATTACAGGTTACGAATCAGATTCATTCATCCATGGGTTGTATATATAGAGTTAGGAGATATGTAGAAAATAGAACACATACAGACTCACTCTCTTTCTTTCTCTTTTTATCTCTCTCTCTCTTTATCTCTCTCTCTTCTCTCTCTCTCTCTCTCTCTCTCTCTCTCTCTCTCTCTCTCTCTCTCTCTCTCTCTCTCTCTCTCTCTCTCTCTCTCTCTCTCTCTCTCTCTCTCTCTCTCTCTCTCTCTCTCTCCATCTCCACCCTTTCCTTTCCTTTTTCCCATCTGATTTCTCATTTCATTTTTCTGGGAGAGAGAGAGAGAGAGAGCGCACAAGCATTTAGTCATTTCCTCTACCGCACCAGAGTAACTCCTCAAGGCCGAGCAGTAACGCAACAGCTTCATTATTAAGGCCAAGAGTCCGAGGCGCAGCTGTGCTCGAGGAGAAGGTCCTTCCGGCGGTGTGTGGCGGCTGGTCCTCGACGTCACTGAGGGAGGATGCAGTTGACCCGCTCAAGGACGAGCCAGGGGGCGCTCGCTCGCTCTCTCTCTCGCGCCGTCTCTTTTCTATCTCGCTCTCTCGCTTTTTCTTTTATTTATGTTTTTTTCTCTCCCGTTTTGTATCTTTTTTATTGCTTTGGCTCTTTCTCTTTGATCTCTCGCTCTTTTTATCTTTGTTTTATCTTCCCGTTTTATCTTTTTTATTGCTGTCTCTAGTCTCTTCTTGTTGCTCTCTGCTCTCTTGCTCTCTCCCTTATTTCTCTCTATCCCTCTCGTTTTGCATCTTTCTTGCTCTGTCTCTTTCTCTTGCTCTCTCGCTCTCTCGCTCTATTTTATCTCTTTCTTTCTCTCGCTTTGTTTGTTTCTCTCTCCGCTCTGTCTCTTCTTTCTCTCTGTCTCTCTTGCTCTGCCTCTTTCTCTTCTCTCTCGCTGTCTCTTCGTATTGTATGAGATAATTTATGTATGTATGCGATCAGTATGTGTGTGTACGAGTGCGTGTGTGCGTGAGTGTGTCTGTTTCTTTTTGTCCTATCTTTATCACAGCGTCCCGGGCGTGTGTCCCTCGGTGACCTCCGGCGTGACTCTGTGACGTAAGTCAGTGACCTCCAAGTGACATCCGGTGGGTCAGGCTGAGATACTGCTCCTCCTTAAGGGTTCTATTTTCTTGTTCTTGTTCTTGTTCTTTGTCTGTGGTTTTGTTTTTTTTTATTTTTTTTCTTGTTTTTTATCGTCTTTCGATTTATTTCTTTTTCCTTGTTTCTTTCTTTTTTTCTTTCTTTCCGTGTTTTTTTTTTATTCATTTTCTTTTTGCCTTTCTTCTCTTGTTTTTCGTTTCATTTCTTCATTCTATTGGATTATCTTTCTTTTCTATTTGACGTGATTGTATGTTCTGTATATATATATTTTTCCTTTTTCTTTCTTTCCTTCATCTTATTTTTTCTTGTTCTTTCTATCAGTGTCTGTCTGGATATATGGTATATTTTTGCTTACATTAAGGACCCGTATATCTCTCTATGATATCCGATATCCTATGAGTACTATTAAATTTTTTACATCCTGGAACACCTTCTGTGGGTGTACCTTGTTTTTTTTTTGTTTGTTTGTTTGTGTATTTTCCATAAGTATGCGATTTCCGCGCGTATTTCGCTCAGGTATGCATGTGTACGTGAACGAGGGGTGTTTGTGTGTTTGTCTGCGCGAGTGTGTGTTTGTTTTGCAGCCTCCCCTGTCTGTATATCTTTATCCTCGCCCGCTGATCCCGCCCATCTCCGCCTTCGTCCTCCCCGCCCTCTCTCCTCCTTATCCTCCCACCGCTCTTCCCTTTGTCCTCCCTCCTTGCCTTCTCCCTCATCGTCTCCGCATATCCTTCTTTCTTCTCTGTCTTAATCCTTTCCCCCTTTGCCTCTATCCTTCTCCTTCCTCTCTTCCTCCTCTGTCCTTCTCCTTCCCCCCTTCCCCTCTATCCTTCTTCTCCTTCCCTCTTTCCTCTCCATCTCCCTCTCCTCCCTCCCTTCTCTATCCTCCTCTTCCTTCATCCCTTCTCCCTCTGCCCGGCCCCTTCCTCCTTGGCGTCCACTTAGCGCTGGCTCCTCCTCCCCCGAGGACACCAGGTGTGCGTCTCCCCGGCGTGGCAGTGGCGCGTGATCCTCGGACGTGGGTGGCTATGCAGTTCCCGCGGGCGTCGGCGTGCATGCGGGCGGGCGGGCGGACGAGGGCGTCATAGGTTGTCATTGAGCCTCTTTAGGGGTCACGTGACACCTCAACCCCCTGGCGTCCGGCGTTCGGAGGAGGAGGAGGAGGAGGCGGCGAGGGTGACGCTGCCACTCGTCGGGTCGTCCAGGGGCAGGCAGGGTCGCGGGTATGGGGCGTCGGCAGGGGCACGGGCGGGAGGAGCGGGCAGGGATCGCGGGCGGGGACATCCTCGGAGAGACATGTGGTTCTGCGAGCCGGTCCTTCGAGGGTGAACTCCGCCTTGGTGCCGTGGAGGAACAAGTCTCGAGAGGCGGGAATCGCGTGTGATAATGGTGCCGTTTGAAAACCGAGTTTGTGGTGATTTTTTTTTTTCATTTAATTGACGTGTGATTGTGACTTTTTTTCTTCATTTAATTGACATGTGATTGTGGATAAAAAGAAAAAACAATGCATCGAAACCCCATTTGTGAACCATACGTAAACAGTGAACAAAAAATTCTGTTCCTTCCAAATTGTAAAAACTCATTTGGAAAATACGAAATTCCGATCCTCCTCTATTATAAAACCACGATGATGAAAAAAAAAACAAAAAAACGAAGGCGTGCCTATGCTTCCTTCCCGGTGATGGTGCGAGAGAGGGAGGAGAGGGAGAGGAGGACGAGAGTGACGAGAGAAGCTGTGGCCCCTTCGATCAGAGGAATTGTGAAGTGTGAAGCGGAAATTATGTGGAGCTGGAAGAAAACGATAGATGCGCTGAATATAGAAACGAGGCCTACCTTGTATGATTTTTTTACTTGAGGGGAGGATGGGAGGGAAGGGAAGGGAGGGGAGGCTGGGGGAGAGGGGGAGGAGGGGAGTGGAGGGAAGGAGGAGGAGCTGGGGAGGAGAGGGCTGGGGGAGGCTGGGGAGGGAGGGAGGGGAGGGGGAGGGGAGTAAATAAGCCGATGCTGTCTCTGCTTTGTGCTATAGCCCAAGAATTTCAGGTGGAATGGGAGGGGGCGAGGAGGGAGTGAAGAGAATGGGGGTGAGTGAGAAGAGAGGGAGGAAGGGAGGGTAAAAAAGGAGGGAGTAGGGTAAAAAGAGGGGAATGGGAGAAAAAAGGGAGGTAAGGTAAATAGGGAGGAATGGGGAAAATAAAGGGATAGAAGGTAGGGTAAAAAGGGAGGGGAAAGGAGGATGAAATGGAGGGAAGGGGGGGAGGGAGGCTCGGCAGATATGGGGATGGAAGGGAAGGAGGAGGGAACATACGGAAATAAAGGGCTCGGTAGGGAGGGAGGGAGGGAGGGGAGGGAGGGGAAGGGCGGGTGGTGATACATGACGGGGGAATTTTTCCAAGGATCCGGAGCATGAAGACAATTCCTTCGACAGGATCTTGCGGTTTTAGAGGCATAATATGTGAGGCGACGGGGTGGCTCTATTATCTCTCTGTTCTCTGTTTCTCTCTGTTCTCTCTTCTCTCTCTCTCTCTCTTCTCTCTCTCTCTCTCTCTCTCTCTCTCTCTCTCTCTCTCCCTCTCTCTCTCTCTCTCTCTCTCTCTCTCTCTCCTCCCTCTCCCCCTCTCCCCCTCTCCCTCTCTCCCTCTCTCCCTCTCCCTCTCTTTTACTTCTATCCTACACATTCGCAATTCTGTGGAGGAGAAACGCTCAAATTCAGTTACCTATAGACCCCAGTTGTGCCCTCAGAGGTCCTTTGCGTGCACGTGTTAGCTTAATGAGGAAGGTGGAGGTGGAGAGGTGGAGTGGAGTGAGGTGGAGGTGGAGGTGGAGGTGGGAGGTGAGGTGGTGGGGCCTGGAATGGGGGGGAGGGAGGGGAGGGGGAGGACCAGCTGATGTGTGGACGGCGGCAGGGGCGATAGCGTAGCTTTTATGAATTGCTGTTGTGGATTTCGCTTTCCGGGATGGAGGATTTGGGTGGGAGGTGGAGGGAGTAAGGATGGAGGCTTTAGGTGAGATGGAGGATGGAGGTGGAAGTAGTAAGGATGGAGGCTTTAGGGAGGTAGAGATAGTAAGGATGGTGGATTTAGGAGAAGTGGAGGTGATAGTAAGGATGGAGGGTGTAGGAAAGTGGAGGTAGTAAGAATGGTGGATTTAGGCAGAGGTGGAGGTGTGGGGTAGGGTGGATTGTAGGTCTAAGTAGAGAGTTCTGATGTATGGAGAATGAGTGGTGGGATGTGGTTCGTTGATCTGAAGGTAGGGGATAGAATGGAGGAGAGGAGGAAAGAGAGGATAGGGAAAAACACACGCACGCACAGAGAGAGAGAGAGACACCACACACGCGCGCGCGCGCACCGCCAGACACACATCAACACAACACACACACACACCACACATAACAACACATACACACAGACAGGCAGACAGACACACACACATTCACACCACGCACAGACACACACACACACACACACCACCAAACAACACACACCACACAACACCAACACCACACACACACACAACA